CAGACCAATACTAATGTGTTAACCGAAGCGCACTGCAATCTATCCCTGGAGTTAAGAGAAAAAAAGAGTTATGTTTTGAAATATTTTCATACAAAATATCATCGATGTATACGTACTACGCATATGATTTCGTGATTTTGGCATTAAATAACACTCGCTAAGTTGAACTTAACCATACTGCATCCGTACACCTTACTTTAGTGCGACTTAGACATTCTTTATAAGCGATCTAGCGCTGTTGCAATAGTTTGGTTACTTGACAGAAATCATTATTTCCAAAACGAATCAAGAAGTTTTAGTTCTCTATCCTTGCGAAAAATCACTTTATTGGTGTATTACAACCGATTATTGAAGTTATTGTAAGCTAAAACTTCTTGCTCTATTTTGGAAATAATTAATTTCGGTCAACTAACCAAACTACTGCAACAGCGCTTGATCGCTTATAAATAATGTCGAAGTCGTACTAAAGTAATGTGTACGGATGCAGTATGGTTAAGTTCAACATAGCGAGTGTTATTTAATGCCAAAATCGCGAAATCTTATGCGTAGTAGGTATACATCGATGATATTTTGTATGTAAATAATTCCAAACAAAACTCTTTTTTTCTCTTAACTCCAGGGATAGATTTCAGTGCGCTCCGGTTTACAAATTAGTATTGGCCTGAGGAACAAAATGCACTATAGTTTCATTCTGGGCAGCACTTGGTCCAACTTCCATACATGGATTGGCACTGTCCTTTAATAGTTTTGGAGTAATATTTAACATTTTTTTTGTGTGCTTTAACGTTGTTGCTAACGAGTGCATCAAAAAGATCTATAAAGTTTAAGATTTTAGTTCTTGAAAGTATCTGCTAGGGACGCTGTACAATCATCATACATTTAATGTATGCCATTTTTTACGCAGTCGCTAGCGGATGACGATCGATATAAAGTTGCACTAAGCCCACTGATTACGAATAGATCCAGAAATTCACGTGTAGTGACAGCGGTTAGTACTAGGGTCACATTGTTTTTTTACAGAAGTACCTAGTCTAATTGTTCCTTTCTACAAAATCACTAATAATCTAGCAAAATCGATTTTGATAAAAAAAGAACTTGTTTTATAATTTTCTTAATTTCGTCATTTATTCTGCATTTTAGTATTCACACATGCAGACGGAAGCATTTTTAGTTGTATTTGTTTAGACTGTATAGAATAAAATCATTTTATTGATATTGAATATTATAAAAAATGATATTTTATATTTAATATGAAAAATGATATTTTTATGATGATAATGTATAATACATTATCATCATAAAAATATCATTTTTTAGTCCTGACACGGAACCCTTAATAGTTTCGATATGTCTGGCTGTCTGTCTGTCCGAGGTTTTGCTTGGAAACTATTNTTGCACTATTCCCTACTATTAGGCAGTGCGATTTTTTCAAGTCTACTTAGAATAAAAATGACTGTGTTGGTAACCGCTTAACTCAACAACGCCTGGACCAGTTTTACCAATTCTTTTTTAAATGTTCGTTGAAGTCCAAGGATGGTTTTTACGGCGAGAAAAATTCGGACATTTCCGGGAAAAGCCTAAAAACAGTACTTTTTTCACACGGGCGAAGCCGCGGGCGGAAAGCTAGTTTATAATAAAATTCGGCATGAGACTTTTAAAAAACAGACTGTATCCGTAGCTGTAGGTACGAGTAGGGTTCGTATTTCCAGCACGAGCACATCACTAATTGTAAAATACATTTGAATAACAAAACAAGTAACCCCAAAACTAAAAATATCGACCGAGCGTCGGTTCAGCGGTCGTAGTTGACTTGAACTTTGCTACAGCTTTAAGTTAATACTAGCGGCCGCCCGCGACTTCGTACAAATGTTTTTTCCCGCTAACTCCCGTTCCCGTGGGAATTTTGCAATATCCTGTTGTAACTAAGCTTTAAGTTTAATAAGATACCTGCATGCCAAATTTCAAGCGTCTAACTTAAGCGGTTTAGATTTTTTCATACAAATGTTTTTCCCCGCTAACTCCCGTTCCCGTGGGAATTTTGCAATATCCTGTTGTAACTAAGCTTTAAGTTTAATAAGATACCTGCATGCCAAATTTCAAGCGTCTAACTTAAGCGGTTTAGATTTTTTCATACAAATGTTTTTTCCCGCTAACTCCCGTTCCCGTGGGAATTTTGCAATATCCTGTTGTAACTAAGCTTTAAGTTTACTAAGATACCTGCATGCCAAATTTCAAGCGTCTAACTTAAGCGGTTTAGATTTTTCATTCAAAAAGATTTTCCAGCTAATTCCCGTTCCCGTGGGAATTCCTAAGTATATTATAACCTGCCCAGAAGTATGAAGAATAATTGTACCAAGTTTCGTTAAAATCCGTCGAGTAGTTTTTGTTTCTATAAGGAACATACAGACAGACAGACAAAACAACAATTTTACTGATTGCATTTTTGGCATCAGTATCGATCACTAATCACCCCCTGATAGTTATTTTAAAAATATTATATTTCATGTACAGAATTGACCTCTCTACAGATTTATTATAAGTATAGATTATGCTTTTGCCTGCGACTCCGCTCACTCGCGTAATTTTCGACAAAGGTGACCGAGTTTCTACCGCCACTTCTTCTCAGCACCAGCCCAATGTTGTCTCGAAGTGATGGTAGGGCAAGCTATACAGGGTGGCCAAAACAGTGAGGTTTAAAAGAAAAATTTAGATTCCTTACATCAAGGTGTATCTAAATCACCCCTATGTATGTTATACGATTTTGCTTAATTTAGAAGATACTCGTAGAGTTAATTTTGTGATATTTTAAAATTTGATGACATTTATCTTTTTTTTGGGTTGACTTTTCTCAGATTTTTTTTTTACAGATTTGTTATTAATTGTAGATGTTTGAAAAAAATAATCACCTTCCTATCTTTGATGCAAGACACAACATTTTTGCTAGAAATATAAAAAATATGCTTTTAGCAGAACACTATCAAATTTACAACTTAAAAGTTTAAATAAAAAAATCCTACTTAATGGGCCACTATTAGGAAGCCTCTATAGGTCGCGAGAGGTCGTTAAAACCACCTCAGTAAAAAAACAGTAAATTTTATATGCAAATGCATAAATGTTGTATGGATTAAAGTATTCGGTCCCTACAACATCTTTGTAACATTATAAAATGCATGAAAAAAAAAACCGGACGGTCGGGGACCCCGCAAAATTTTTTTTTTCATACTAGGGGGTCGTGTCATGAAAAAGGTTGAAAAACACTGACGTAGGTGATCAAATCCAGGTGATCAAAGTGGAAAAGACCGTAACCACCACCCTCCGAAAACTGGGACCAGTAAAGTCGGGACTTGTGGCAACACTAGTATAGTTCCAAAATACTGAATGTCCTGTCCATGACATTGACAGCGGGGCGCCACCGTCTATACCGGATCGCTGGTTCCGAATTTGCCATGTTGGAAACCATACAGGGTGGAAACGTTAAGTGATCTCACTCGATTATTTCTAAACTATACAAGATATTGAAAAACTGGTTACTGATCCTGAAAGTGCTTCATGAGCTCTTTCAAACGGTACCAATATTAGGTTACAGAATAAACTGGATCTATCTGAAAATTCAATGTTTCCAGCTTCCATACTAAATGTATGCCAGACACACAATTATTAGAAGTGTAATTTTTTTTAACAATAAACTCTTAAAATAAAATCGTAAATTGTATTCTTATTTAAAATAAATTCATGGAAAACATTGGTTTTAGGCTTTACTTTCTATAATATTGTCAAGAGATGAGTGACATGACTGTGGTAGTACTAAATGTATGGAAGAAGGAAACATTTAATTTTTGGATAGATCCAGTTTATTCTGTAACCTATTATTGATACCATTGGATAGAGCTAGTGAAGCACTTTTAGAATCAGTGTGCCTACCATGAGTTTACGTTAGGTGAGCTCGCTAGCGAACGTCAAAAAAATCCAAGAAGATTTTATTTCTTGAAAGTAGCCGCTAGGGGCGCTGCACAATATGTCATACATTTAAATGTCATTTTTTTACGTAGTCGCTAGCGAGCACACCTAACGTAAACTCATGGTAGGCACACAGTAATCTGTTTTACGATATCATGTGTAGTTTTTAAAATAATGTGACTTTACCAAATGTATAGGAGCTGAAAACATTGAATTTTCGGATAGATTCAGTTTATTATGTAACCTATTATTATTACCGTTTGATAGAGCTCATGAAGTACTTTCAGGATCAGAAACTAGTTTTGTGATATCTTGTATAGTTTAGAAATAATCTAGTGAGATCACTTATCGTTTCCACCCTGTATAGTTGAACTATGGTAGCGCCCCCCTGTCATTGAGTTTGGTGGGACAGTTCAGCGTGGGTCATCTATAATAATGTTATAAATCAAAATGTCAAATATAATGAGTTACTTGGATGATAAATTGATTTAAAATTACACTATAGTTACGCCCTTCAAAATAAGGACAATATAGCTTTGTTAAGTGTTTTGACTCTACTGGGGCCTCAAGAAATTGCTGGTCTAGTGGGAAGTTTGAATGAAAAATATATTTCAGTAGAAATATTTAGAATAGTTAATATTTTAGAACTCTGAAAGAGTATGTTGCGAAATCTATCAAGTAATTCATATTAGGTTGGTTTCCCTATTAGTTTTCTTAAAAACATTGTGAAGTTGAATCATTTTTTTAGTAAATAAATAAATTCTATAGGCAACACGTCTTCCAGCTACCCATTTCCGGTCGTGTCGTCTCGTTCTATCGCACAGAATCGCCATTTGATGAGAGCGAGAGAAAAAAACGGAAATTTGTAAATGTCACTTAAAATAGGGGTTAATTTAATTTGTCAAAAAATTTCACACTGGAAATAAATGTATAATTAAGTTTTTACAATTTTAAAATAATAATATACAGATTGTTAAAATATTATGTTCTGTAAAAGAACAGTGCACAGATAATAAAACATTAAAAGTCATGCATTCACTCACCAGGCGGCGCTGTGGGTACGACTTCCTTTGGCGGTTGTGTGTTACTCTTCCCAAATGTGGTGAGAGCCTCAGAAGACTCGCCGGTCAGCCAGCCCACCAGAAGAAAAGGCAGCATAGCAGCCGCAGCCTGCCTCCTGCACCACATCTCAACCCTCCAAAACAGACGCATGGTGTAAAACCTTTTTTCTACAGACTCTTTCGACCCCGCAAAACCGCGGGAAAACTTTGACGTTTAACTGACAGAAGCGGTAACAACTCACTGCTTTCTCGATTTTCACTTGTTTCCCTAAAAATTGAGCTCTAAAACCAATTTTTCTTTTTGAATAATTAGCAGTGATACTAATTTGTGAATAGGATTGTAATAAAATTACTAATAAACTACAAATTCAAATCGCCTTTTCGAAATTTCAAATCTGACATAGGACGTAACGCGTTACGTTTGGATTTAGTTTTTAAGTCGGATCAAGATGTGGTGTAGAAGATTATTTTTGTTGTATCTCGTTTATTTTTATTAATTAAAGCTAAGATTTTTTATATAGCAGGAGAACTTGACTTTTGAATTTTCTGATTTATTTGTAACACAGACTTACGTGTTTGCAGCGTTGGTGGTCACTCACTGTTTCTATATTTTTTTTAATGCAAGACTACGAAAAAGAATTCGTTTCCTCGCTATCTTTAGTATATGATTTAGGTATATCTGTAGATTTATAAACAATCTAAATATCCAGAACAGTGTCAACTGTTCCTGAAGAAATTTCTTTTGCTACGTTTCGTTTTACCAAAACCGAAACGTTGTTCCCATAGCTGAAATATTAACATCTTCAAAGCTGTACACTAAAGTTGTCACATTGAAATGGAAATTATGCGTGTCATTTCAGGGTCATTGTCATTGCATTTTCTAAAATGGCCGCTTAAAAATTAACATCGATAGACAAGTGTGTAAGCCATTCTTTGATGGCCGTGAGACCACAGTATGCTGTATGAGTAGCATGTAATGTATGATCGTGTATGTAAGTGTGTATGGCCACAGTTGTACAAAGCAGTAACTCATTTACAATTTAAGTCTCTTACCTTTTGATTAAATTGTAGTTAACCAGCGCACCTATACTTTTAGTTTGTGTTGGTTCACAATTTGCCTTTGATTTTTTTATTTGGTTATACGAAAGCTAAGCATCTGAAATAACGGTCATTGCCAAATATTTTTTCAGAAATAAATCATGTCTTTCAGCTTGAAGTCAGCAGGGCTTTTCTAACGTTTTTAATGTATTTCAGAGTATCAGTCGCAGCAGTCACTAATGTAATTTCTCGTAGAGATGATAGAGAGAGCCTGTACCATCCTAAAAGTATTTTATTGCAATTTCCTTAGATTAGACGGCAAAATTTTTGGATTTTCCACGGCTGTGAAGATATTGAAATGTTTTTAATGTACATGAGTCACTGCTTTTGCTATGGGCGTGGTATCAGATGAACTGAAGCGCAAGCTCGTCCCTTATATAAAAAATCTTACCAGGTGATACAGTAGTCGTCGCAGGTTTCGGTGGCTCCGTGTTGGCCCGCCCAAACGACGAGATACCGAACCCTTCGGCGGACTGTACATACATCCACGTTAAATAGACCGAGAGAAGGAGGGTGGATTGTATTCTTGCTTTCCGCGACCACATTTTGATCTTTTTATCTCTAAACGCGAAGTTTACTGTGTCTAGGTCTAAATTGTGCGAAGTCGGAGTCGATCAGTAATTTTATTTAATTATTTAATTAATACTCACGAGTAAATCTCACCAAGATTCTTCAATTTGAAACCTTAAACTTCTAACTTAAAGGTTTGGAGGTATTTGTAGCACTCTGTGTTAATTCAAGTGCTTATGATAAGTACTGTTGCTGTGACTGGTTATAAATCTGAACTAAATAAAGCACTTGATTTTTATTTGAGTTTAAATCCAGTTTATTTTTAGATAACCTTTCCGTAACCCTCGGTCCCCTGCCGCTATTTTTTGCTGCACTCGCACTTATCTCTTTTTATCACCGGATGTTTATTACATTTCTGTGAAGCTATTGAAACAAACTAACCAATTATGCTAATACGAGAGCTAAATGGGATGTTTACATTAATTTTTATTACCCAACAAAACTGCCATTATACGCTGACGCACGAGATGTGCGATATTAGCCGGAATATTTAATAAAAATTACTAATGGTTTTAATTGTTTCAATGCACAATACTTAAACACAAAAAAAACAATGGCTTCGCTCGCCATCGACAAGAACGTTACTTTCCAAATTTTGTGACATGTACTCCCTGACTATGACACAAAAAGCTTGGACATTGAAAGCTCTAATTAAACGTCGTAAAAAGTGATTGTACTGTCTATGGTTCCCGCCTCCTGTCCAATAAGACAAAAGAAAGACAATCTCTAATTTCCGGTCATTTTATTGGTGGCACTAGTCAGAACTTGGATGGAGGGCGGAGCTTCATAATGGACGGAAAACGTTTTTAAAACCTTAGTTCTTTCAGTTTTATTAATTTTGACTTATTCTTCTTTTTACTGATCGACAACGACTACAGCAACGGACTAGTGGTGTTGTATTAAATATTTTTTGTATTTAACAGATAGCAGAGTGCTATTTGACTTAGTACTTATCTTTTGAAGTATTTTCGCGACGAATTTTGTGTAAATGTGTTTTTGCAATGGTAATGAAAAACTTGAAGTAATTTATGTGTATTTTTTAAGATATTTGAGTGAAATTGTTTTGTAAAGACGCCACAATGATCCTGCTACTTCTGCAAAGGTTTTTATATATTGGAACAAGAATGCATGTAGTTTTACTCGAAAGTAGGTATTCTGTGTGTGTTTAGTATTTGGTAAATTATATTTATCCGTACGTTACCTGTATTGGTGAAGAATAAGATTTTGATAAAAAAAAACAAGCACAATTTACAGGCCAATTGAAAAGTAAAAAAATCTCATAGCCAATCACAACAAAAAGATTATAAGAAATATACTCGTCCCATTATATAAAAGCCTTACCGGCCATGGCTGTTGGAGCAGCTGGTTTCAGGGGGGGATCAGTCTTACTGACCCCGAAAGCTGGGCTAAATGCCCCCATGCATTGGGACACGGGCAAAATCAAGTAAAGTAGAACACGCGTCGTTTTTCCAAGCATGACGATATTTTCCAATACTTTCTCTGAAAATGTTGTTTTACGAAGCATCAGAAGTTGTTTAAACAATACGGCATGTAAAAAGTATGTACACGTGATTATTTACAAGACGCAAACAGCGGTAAGTAAACATTTTTTACATAATGGGACAGTATTTTCGAAAGAGCCATCGACAAAATTTTGAACCTGAAAATTGAAAGTGTTGTCATTCGTGAGTAGAGATGCCGTTTTCGGGAACATTGCCTACGTCGGAAATATTTCCAGTAGCTTTCCCATAATATTACCATAGAGAGAAATATTGAGGAAAGCTACTAAAATGTTTCCGACCAGTATGTTCTCGAGCATAGCACACTATTCGTGAGATTCCATGTGAATTCGGAAGTGTCATTTCAGGTGTCTCAAGGTGTGTAGTGCGTTCTATGTGGAAATGTCCCATTATTTAAAAAATCTTTACCAGGAGGCGTCGTGGGCACAGCGGACGGGGGCTTCGTATTAGAGACTCCGAAGGTACTCAGGGCCTCAGAGGAGTCTCCAGTCAGCCAGGCCAGCAGAAGCGGCACGATCAAAGCGGCGGCTTCCTTGCGGTACATCTCAAAACACGCCATTTTTACATTAGAGCAATCTTTTATAATATGTGATCGTAATGAAACAAAAAAAAAACCACGTAAATACGAAATACAATTTCTAATGATATTGTGAATATGAAAAATGGTGATAGAAAATTATCATGATTGTGGGTTTTGTGAAAATTATTTAAAAATATTAATAAAAATCGAGACGCAAATTCAATCGTTACGTACTACTACGTCCGTGAATTGTCAAATTTGTTTTTTCGAACGGCGATTTGGAAACTTTGAAATTCAAACGGCGGAAATGAAATTTTATTTTCTCTGTCGCTGTAAGTAACTAGATACTTTTTCGTAGCTCGTTTACTTTCTTTTATGCCAGTACCTAACTAAAAGATAGATTTTAGGGCCAAATAAGAATTAAATTACTATCACTTGTGGCAAAGGCTATAATTATTATACTATTATTATAACCATATTTTTTTAATTCCACGTTTATTTTGATAAAATTTCATTTCCGTTCCTATAAAAAGTTTTGAAAGTGATCGAATCGATAGAAATTGACAAGTAGTTAATTTGAAAATAATTTGCATTGAAATTGTAATATTAAAAAATTATGTTATTTTTACAAAAAAAAAACCAAAATCTTAATACAATGACTGCTTACTTAATTTTTGTATGTTTTTAGTAATTTTTTTTTTGATACAGTGATACTTTTAAAAACTTCTTACTATAAAAGATTTTGATTTCGTTCTAAAATAATTTACAAGTAGAGGATATTTCAGTAGGTAGGTAAAAGCATTTTATATTGTTAGGGTTGTCATCGAAGGAAAGTAAGTATTTTTTCTTAAAAAAAAAACGAGTCAAGAAAAGATGATTTAATTTTATGTAAAATTCTGGTGTGTTCTAGTTTCGTCATTCTTTCCTAAATAAGTAGTTTTCTACTGACTTTCCTTCAATTTTTTTGACAGCTGTCCAAATATAGTTTTAGTAGCTTTTGCCCGCGGCTTCACCCGCGTGAAATTTAGTTTGTCACATATCGTCATAAATTATACCCAGTTATTATGGGATATAAACAATAAAATTGTTGAGTTTCAACAAAATCCGTTCAAGTAACAAACATCGAGATATCCAGACATCCAAACTTTCGCATTTATAATATTAGATAGTAGGATTAGTGTTAACACGTTCAGTTCTCACACACAAAAATAGCTTAGAATGTTACTTTATGAACCTATTTGATATTAAGCTATAAAAATGCCACATTTATAGCAGCAACTTATTTAGCTATTCCTTTGGCCATGTCAGCCATTTTTCTTCAAGAATCTATGGCATTCTCCATGAAATTTGTTATGTAAATTACCTACCATGAGTTGTAGGAGTGTGAAACACCTAATTTATTGGTAGTTTTCTTTATGGTTTTAGTAAGTATGATTTTGGAACTTGGTAACAGTTTTTATTAATTTATTTTTTACTTGAAATCTTTATTGCACACAAAAATTGCGGAACAAAAGGCGAACTTAATGCCGTGTGGCATTCTCTGCCAGTAACCTTTTTGCGTTAGTTAACATTACAATAAATATGCAAAATTATAAAAGTAATTATATCTAATCCAGAGTAAATTTAGTTTCAGGTAATATTTATTAACGTAATATTTAAGAGTTAACTAAAATCGTCTAAAAACAAATTTTCAAAGCTTAATTTATTTTTTAATTAAAAAGCTACTGATTTTTTCTAATGGAAAACGCGAAAGTTAGTGAGGATGAATGGATGATTGTTTGTAAATCCTTCACGCAAAATATACTAAACATATTTTGATGCCAATTTTCAATTTTACATGGAGTTTTTTTTTATACATGAATAGAACTTTCGTATTTGATCGTAGAACGAGTGTTAACCCTTACTGAAACGTTGCCATCATACTTTCAAACTTTATTGAGATGATAATACGGATCAAAATCAGATAAAAATTATATTGATTCACATAATTCTGTATGTTAAAATTACGTAAACACAAATTGGATGACGTATTTTGAACAACTGCCAAGTTTACTATTGTACAAGCATAAAAAAATAATGCTTAAGGAAAACAGTTATGGCTAAGTGCATATTTAAGCAGCGTGGCGGCATGCGTCAATATAAAAACAAAATAAAACTAAAAAAAAAAATTAAAATCAAGTAGAAATAACTTAAGACTTGATAAAATATCTAAAATAATTATAATACATAATCACGTTTACGCCACTGGTTGTTTTCTTTCAAATAAAATAACTAAGTATTAATATCTTTGCTTGATTTACTTGAAATCACTATAAAAAATGGACACAGATTAAAAACTTTCGTCACTACCTATACCTACCAGACAAAGAAAACAACGCGTAGCTTTAAAAAAAAGAACCACAGATAAAAGTGCAGAAGCAGTGCGTTCGCGTTAGTTCGATTTTTAAATTTCGCATTTAGAGCCTTCACAGACTTGCAATGGTTTTTAATTTTATGTTTAATTCAGTTTTTAGTCACACCAGTGTACATTAAATTTAGTTACTGTTTCTGATGCGTGTTGCTGGGACGGAGGTAATCGCGGGACTGGCCAAGCACCAAGGTTTGCGGTCGCAAGGCCGTTTTCTTGGTATACAGGATGTTAACTTTTTTATTTAAATGCAGGGTGGTAAACTTTTTTTTTCTGCGTGAAATGTGGCCAAGGCGTTTTATGTTAGAGCTTTGTAATGCAGTAAGTTTTTAGAGAGATAATGGAAATTAATGCAAAACGTGTTAGGCCAGGACCGCACTATACGGTTGGCCGGGGTGCGGTCAGCCGTCTGGTTACCACAGTGAAATATTATTGAAAATTAGTTTTTATGCGCACTGTCTTGCGGCTGCTTCAACACACATTTTTAACCGGACGGCTGATCGCATTCCGGCTGGCATAGTGCGTTCCAGGCCTTACTGTTGAACTTTTTTCGACTACTTTAGTTTCAGCCTCGTGGCTATGTAAACAGACACCTCCAGCAGTCTCAGGTTCGAATACAGGTATTATGGGACCCTTACGTCCGTATTCACAAACATTACTATGAGGTCTCGCAGTGCGCGTGGAGGCACAGGGTCACACACGAACCAATCACAGAGCTCTATTCAACGCTGTGCGTTCGATTTGCTGCTTCACTTAAGCAAGCATCGT